AAATAAAGTTAACAACAATTAGGTCAGACCATCGCGGGTGAAGTGAGTGGGCGGAGCGTGGATTGTCTTTGCGGGTTTTAAGAATGGTACGCGCGGAAACTATACGTACAAGTGTTATCTACATATGTCTGCGCGCCCACGCACACTGGAATGTTTATTGCAATCGACCAAAAATTTGATGTAGTTTGGATATTGACATTCAGTTTTTTTTCTTTGTTTCTTAAATATAATCAGTATCAGTAAAAGGTAAAAGTAAAAGTGTTATTTTTACCGGTACAAGTTTAACAAACATGAGTAATAAACAAATTACATGCCAATAACATCGCTTTATCTCTTTCATTTTTGTTTGAAATAGAAAAGTACTTTAAGTACATTAGTCCAAGGCAATATAAAAAAGTAACTAATAACTACGGCGATAGAGTTTAATTACATGTGCTTCGATATTAAAATTAAAATGTTTAAATATCAAAAAAAAATAGTGGCTTGGGATTTGAACCGCTGACCTTACGTACCAACGGCGGCGAACGGTAAGGCCACGAGACCAAACTAGCATATATGATGCCAACTTAAATTTGATGTTGGTTTTATCTACCTAATATCTGTCATCCGCGTCGAATACTTTTAGTAAATTTTGAAAAATGGTTTGATGCAAAGTGTCAAATGAATGTAACAGAAGTAGTTTGTTCCAAATTGTATCACAAGTATATAGAGATAGAGTTCAATTTTGTCAAATGTACCGATATTTTTGCGCACCTTGACTGCTTCGTTACTTATGACGCTGTGGCTGCTACGATATTTATGAGCATCTTGCATGTACTCATATATTTGACGCTGTGCATGTACCGATGTATTTGAGCAGGGTGAATGTATCTTTTATTTTGAGGACTTTTGTTGTACCGATATAATTGAATACTGTTGGTGTACCTATATATTTGCATATCTTGTCTGTGACGATCTATATGACGCTGACTGTACATAAACAATATAAATAATTCATCGTCTATCCAGAGACTTTTTTGTTTTGTTATAAAAGTACAGTCAGCGTCATATAGATCGTCACAGACAAGATATGCAAATATATAGGTACACCAAAAGTATTCAATTATATCGGTACAACAAAAGTCCTCAAAATAATAGATACATTCACCCTGCTCAAATACATCGGTACATACACAGCGTCAAATATATGAGTACATGCAAGATGCTCATAAATATCGTAGCAGCCACAGCGTCATAAGTAACGAAGCAGTCAAGGTGCGCAAAAATATCGGTACATTTGACAAAATTGAACTCTATCTCTATATACTTGTGATACAATTTGGAATAAACTACTTCTGTTACATTCATTTGACACTTTGTATTAACATTATAGGTTGTCCGGAAAGTTCGTTCTGATTTTCGATATAAAGCTTACAATAGACTGTAGCTGAAGTGGATTCATTTTCGGATTTCCACCATTATCAAACGTTACAAAAATTTCTATATTGTGAATAATTTCATTTCAGTGGTTGAGATAAAAACTAATTTTTAAAATTTTATCCAATAATAAAAGACGTTTTAGGTTTAGAGTCGTACCAATATAATTTAAAAACATTTCCAAAAATTTGAGAGAACAGGGTTTCAATTTTCCTTATAAAGCGGCACGAACTTACTGGGCAACCCAATATTTTTCTTCTCCTGTCATAACGCTTAAATATAAAAGTTTGTCACACCGAATATGACAGATACGTATTAACTAATATCAAATTTTGCTTTGTCACAATATATATATAATACTAGATTGGCGCAGTATTCTAGTATGTTTGCCGTAATATGTAAGTTTACCGGTTCGAATCTCAGGCTACTTTTTTTCATTTTATCAATCACGGGGTTATTTTTTCATAACCAGTAAAAATTTGGTAATGTAAAATTTTGCTCGACAATTTTTTTTTATAATTTTCGCTGTCGGGTAGAAAGAAATTTAAATAAAGTTAACAACAATTAGGTCAGACCATCGCGGGGTGAAGTAAGTGGGCGGAGCGTGGATTGTCTTTGCGGGTTTTAAGAATGGTACGCGCGGAAACTATACGTACAAGTGTTATCTACATATGTGTGCGCGCCCACGCACACTTGAATGTTTATTGCAATCGACCAAAAATTTGATGTAGTTTGGATATTGACATTCAGTTTTTTTTCTTTGTTTCTTAAATATAATCAGTATCAGTAAAAGGTAAAAGTAAAAGTGTTATTTTTACCGGTACAAGTTTAACAAACATGAGTAATAAACAAATTACATGCCAATAGCATCGCTTTATCTCCTTCATTTTTGTTTGAAATAGAAAAGTACTTTAACGGTCAAACTCATTAGTCCAAGGCAATATCGAAAAGTACCTAATAACTACGGCAATAGAATTTAATTACATGTGCTTCGATATTAAAATTAAAAAGTTTAAATATAAAAAAAAATAGTGGCTTGGGATTTGAACCGCCGACCTTACGTACCAACGGCGGCGAACGGTAAGGCCACGAGACCAAACTAGCATATATGATGACAAACTTAAATTTGATGTTGGTTTTATCTACCTAATATCTGTCATCCGCGTCGAACACTTTTAGTAAATTTTGAAAAATGGTATGATGCAAAGTGTCAAATGAATGTAACAGAAGTAGTTTATTCCAAATTGTATCACAAGTATATAGAGATAGAGTTCAATTTTGCCAAATGTACCGATATTTTTGCGCACCTTGACTGCTTCGTTACTTATGACGCTGTGGCTGCTACGATATTTATGAGCATCTTGCATGTACTCATATATTTGACGCTGTGTATGTACCGATGTATTTGAGCAGGGTGAATGTATCTATTATTTTGGGGACTTTTGTTGTACCGATATAATTGAATACTTTTGGTGTACCTATATATTTGCATATCTTGTCTGTGACGATCTATATGACGCTGACTGTACTTAGGCTTGTAAATAATCAAGCGTCAATAGCCTAATGGTTAAGGGTACGGATTTCCGACCACGAGGTCGGGGGTTCGAATCCCGCCAGTCGACTATTGTCGTAAACCATATTCTAGCACAAGCCTAGAGCTTAGTTGGAATGGTACAAGAAATATTAGTAAATTTCCAAAAAAAAATGACTATACCTGTCTGGGGGTGCAGCAGTATTGGACGTTGCATTGGGTGTATGAGTTGTGTGAGGCGCGTGAGGCGCGTGAGGCGCGTGAGGCGTGTGAGGTCTCACAATGGGTATGGCGGCGGTGGGTCTGCGCTGCGCACGTAGCGGCTGCGGCGGCGGCTGCTCCTGTTCCGCGCAGTTGTAGTACGTCACACCACCGGCCTGTGTCTGACAATATATATATCTTACTTCTTACTAATATTACCAATGCGAATGTATGGATGGATGTTTGAAGGTATCTCCAGAACGGCTGCATAGATCTCGCTGAAATTTGTCATAACTGTCGACCATAATCCGGAAGAACACAAAGGCTACTAATTATGTTTTTTTTATAATTCTACATTGGATAGAGTCGCGGGCGACAGTTACTTAAAAATCTAATTAGTAGCCGTTGAACCATTTTGGATTTAGGTGATAAAAAACATCGATTCATACATTCGCATTTATGACAGTCCATCTTGGATAACAGAGAAACCTCTATAAGCGAGATACTCGGCGTAGATGGAAACCTCTACAAAGAAAAAAAATAATGTGATCCTGTCTCCTGTTATCCAGATTTGACTGTATTAGTAAGATTTCTAATGTCATATAATACATATTTTGACATTTGATGTTCTCTTTAAGTTGCTTCCTTAGTAAACTCTGATTCTGAGTACACACGTAGTTCAGAAAAGTATATAAATTCTTATACAGGGTGTCCCAAAAGGTTACGTACATAGGAAGGGGGATGATAGCGGTGGTCACAAGGGTCACCAGTAAAATTAAATTAAAATTCCCCTCTGGATATAAAAAAAATAAAGGGCATTTTTTGAAAACTTAAAAATTTTACACCTTCTGGATCAATTTTGTAACCGATGACCTACAAATATTGCTATATTTAAAAAAAAAGCTATTATGTTATTGTCAATAACCCTTTATCAATATGAAATAAAAAAAACAATACAACTAACAAAGATTTTAAAGGAAATTAAAATTGCCCCAGAAGGTGTAAAATTTTTAAGTTTTTAAAAAATGCCATTTATTTTTTTTAATACCCAGAGGGGATTTTTTATTTTATTCTTCTGGTGATCCTTGACCACCCCTATCATCCCCCTTCCTTTGTACTTAACCTTTTGGGACACCCTGTATATCAAAGTATATAATGTACATACGTAGTTGTGGTGCTGGTACATCTGATGTGGGTATGCGGCGGGAGGCTGCGCGTAGATCGGCGCGCCACCGAACACCGCGCCACTACCGCTTTGCTGGGGGTAAACAGAATTTACACATTTTTTATTCACATTATTTTTGATGCACTCTCGTTTTTTATATTCACACTAGTGATTTCCCGTGACTTCGTTTGTGTAGAAAATAATTGCCTACAATATGCCCGAATTCTTCTGCCACCGTCCCGTCAAAGTGCCGCCAAAATTGCTTTATTCGTTCCGCAGATTATCCCGGAGCAAACGCGACATTGCGGACAGAAAAGGCAACTTTTTGTATAATGAACACCGCTAATTGTCCTGACTGTACGTCTGTATACACACCTGCATATATTGAGCTGGCATCATGGCGGGAGGGGCATATCCTTGAGCTGGGGGGATTTGTCCTGAAAATTAACACAAAACTTGACATTATTTCTCCAAACAGACAAATAACACATTCACTGTCATTCGCCTGGCGATTTCATATCTTACAAAAAAAATAGCACTGTACATGTTAACACTTTCACTGCCACTTGAACGTATACTAGTAAACACCAGACTAGTGGCAGTGAACGTGTTGAGATTTACAACTCACCTATATGTTGTTGAGGTGGTATATTGTGCATGGTGTGGTGAGGATGGGAGACCATTTGCGGCGGCTGATCCAGTATACCAAGTCTCACCTGTCAAATGAAATGTATGGAGTTGTATGAATCTTAAAATACACAAAGTTGCATTATATTTTGGTAGCACTATAAAAATAAAAAGTATATAAAGTATAACGATCAAAATTAAAATATTAGATGAAGTGACAGGTTGTTGGTTGGTGAAGTGACAGGTTGTTGGTTGGTGAAGTGACAGGTTGTTGGTTGGTGACGCGACAGGTTGTTGGTTGGTGAAGTGACAGGTTGTTGGTTGGTGAAGTGACAGGTTGTTGGTTGGTGACGCGACAGGTTGTTGGTTGGTAAAGTGACAGGTTGTTGGTCGGTGATGTGACAGGTTGTTGGTTGGTGCAGTGACAGGTTGTTGGTCAGTGAGGCGTACCTGTTGCGAGTGCTGTGGCTGCATAGCCTGGTGCGGGGGCGAAGGTCCATGTGGTTGGCTCACGTTATTACGATGCACCTGACAATAATAATATTTATTATTTAAAAAGTGATAAATCTTTTATACAGAGATTTTAGTCTCAGAAATGAACGGTTAGCGGTGTAAACTCACATTCAAAGGTTGTTGATGCATTAACTGCTGGGGATGTATCTGGGGTACTGGGCTGCCCTGATGCTGCGACTGGTTGGGACCGTTACCTGGATAATCTGTAACAAAGTGGTTATATGAACTTTCGTTTTGTTCCTGCCCGGCTCCTTGTGGGTAAAGAGTGATGTTAAATAGCTATTACCTTAATTAATAACTGGACGATGCAAAAATAATTTTTCAAATCTATTTAGTAGTTTTTGAGATTAGGGAGTACATTGCAGTTTTTTATATTACGACTAGCTGCCGCCCGCAATCCGTCCGATCGGAATAAAGAAAATAGTAACCTATGTGTTGTTCCACTATCCCCTTGTTCCTTAGACATCCATCCATTCATTTATAAAATTTCATATTTATAATATTAGTAAGATAAGATATGAAGAGGCATATAGACCCTTTTTCCACTACTGCGACTAGCACTTATTTCTATTAAAAATACTTATCAAACTAACCGTCAACATTTTGTCCATTATCCAACATCTCGTACTACATAAATAAAAAAAATCTCAAACAAAAAGTACCTGCATGATATCTATGTTGTTGATTCTGTTGTGTTGGTTGTTGTGTCGTTTGCGGTTGTTGCGTTGGTTGTGGTGTAGGTTGCGGTTGTTGGACACTTTGTTGTTGGACACTTTGTTGTTGGACACTTTGTTGTTGGACACTTGGTTGTTGGACACTTGGTTGTTGTTGTTGCGGTTGTTGCATTGTTGGTTGTGGTTGTTGCGGGGAATATGTCTCTGCGAGGGGTCGTTGTCGCAAACTGCTGTACCGCTTACTACCACCCGCTTTTGATTCCGCATCTGGATATTAAAGAAATTAATTTAAAAAAAAAATAGATGATATTTGACATATCTAAAGCCAAAGGATATCAGCGGGGATAGACGTGCATACGGCTCGAAGAGATTCCGTAGCGAACTTCAAAATGTATGGAACTGTCGCACGACGTTAGTTATCGAAAGTTATTGTCAGTTCATTTTGTCTAGCCCCGCTGAATCAGTGAGAGAGGCGGTGCTATAGTTGGTTCTGTCCGAATATTTATAAAACCTACATAGACATAGAGATTTATTTTTCCTTTAAAAACAAACTAAAATATTGTTGTAATTCCACAGTAAAAGAGAATTTTTATAAATATCATATATCTCAAAAAATGCTATTTAACCAAAACTTACTTGCAGTTGTTTGCGGTTGATTTTGTTGCGGTTTCGGTTGTTGCGGTTTCTGTTGGGGTTTCTGCTGTACTTGTTGAGTTTGCGGTTTCGTAGCCGCATTATTCTGCTGCGGCTGTTGACGAGAGATACAACTATACGTATAATACAATCTTTAGCTTGGGGTCACCGAACGACTGACAATTTCGTTAATTTCTTATCAAACTAGATTACAAACTGTCAACATATTAAATACACGAGAAGAATCTAGGTACATAGTAGTCGATGTGATCTTCCAGACTATGTTCTACATCTATGACAGACTTTTGTAGTGAAATTTGCAGCAATTCTGGAGATACCTTTTAAGAAACATCCATCCATCCATACAACTAAGCATTCACATTTATAATATTAGTAATATGTATAAAACCACAAACCTGTGCTGGTGTTGGTTTCTTCTTGGCCTGTTCAGTGGGCACAGGTCGCTGCTGCGCCACCGGAGCGCTCACCCGCCGCGCTGCTGGACCCTCACTACACGAAACATCACATGTACAGACAAACTGACTGTATTCTATTACTAGCTGTCGCCCGCTACTCCGTCCGCATAGTAATAAGAAAAAACTTCGTTAGAAGACTATGTATTCTTCCAGACTGTTCTACATCTGAGCGAAATTTCATCAATATCCATTGTATCGTTCCGGAGATACATTCTAACATCCATCCATCCAAGAGATTTTTTTTAAATAGGCCATCTATAAGCATTAATTTCTAATACTAAAGTAAAAAAACTCACAAAGGCTTATAATCAACACACAACTTTATCATTTAGAAGCCTCAAAATAGTATTAACATCTTAAATCAACACTAGTCTTCCATATCAATCAATTAACGACTCTGAGTACAGCTGTTAACTCAGTTAACAATATTACTTACGTATTATTAGAAATCGTAGTTATAGTAAGATTCTCCAACGCTGGCAACTTGTCTTTGGCCGCTGGTTTGACATTTTTGACTTTGACAGGTTTGACTGCGGGCTTCGCTTTGGTCTTTATTGATGCATTACGTCTCAGCTGACCACTCCTGTCCGATGAATCATTTGATGCCGGTTGAGATTTGGACCTTGGACGAGGGGCTCTTGTCTTTCTGCTGGAACTAAAAAAAAATCTAGTAATAAAAATAGCCTATTTTACTTAGTGATAATTTAGCTTTTTAATGTTTTTTTATATACATTCTTCCAGACTATGTTCTATGTCCGTTCCGTCTAGCCGTTATGGAATACCTTCAAAGTAATCCATCCATCTAAACATTCGCATTTATAATAGTAAAATACACACTTGAACTTTGGCGGTGCATCTAATTCTGGGAAGTCTTCAGGGTTGGGAGGTTTGCGAGGCTGCTGCGCGGCCTGACGACGGTACGCCTCCTCGTCTTCCCAGGTACGAGTGTACTTATTAGGTCCACGTCTGTGTAAACAAAATTAAACTTTATTAGTAAGCAAAAAGGATTATAATTGAATAAGCAAAAGTATAAAAAAAGTTAATTAAATATGCATAAATACAAGATATTTGTGGATACTGTAATATATAAGTTAAGCAACAAAAAAACGTACGGAGAACCTCCTTTTTGAAGTCGGTCAACAAATGTAACAAAGATTGTAGAAAAGAAAAAATAAAGCTTAGAGAATTAAATAAAATAACTCGTGTCATGCAAAGCCATGCAGTATTTAGTGGACCACTCAAACTGACCGCCAATTCCGGAATCTCCATGTAAGGCATTAAACATTTTTTTTTAATTCTTAATTAAACAATTACTAGATTTAAATAAACATATTAAAACATAATTATATTTAAAATCTTTCTTCAATGTATAAATAACTTTAATATATAATCATACTAGCTGCAGCCCGCGACTCCGTTCGCCCGCAAAAATAGACTTTATCAGTAGCCTATGTTTTACATTTGTACCAAATTTCAGCGAGATCCATGAAGCTATTCTTTAATACCTTCAAACAAACATCCATCCATCCATACAAACATTTATAATATTAGTAGGAGGTAAGGTTTTATTTCCTTCCTTTAGCACTTTCATTGGATTATATTACTCTTATTAATAAAAAAAATCAACCAAGACATTTTAATTTAAAAGGGCTTAGTCAAGGTGATGATGATGATGACAGCGGTGATGAAATAACATACCCATATCGTCTATTCCTACGCGCATGAGGCGGTGCGTCTTCATTCCTTATATCGTAGCCGTATATCGCAACCAACTCGTCACGGGATTTTGGCATCTAAAAAATGAGAAGCTATATAGAAATTTGAAAATCGCTTGCAACTTGTCTATTTCTAGTACATTAACGGCGGGTTTCTGAGACCAAAACCTCCATTAAACATATGTTTTGTCAAAGATGTGATTTACGATTATGTTTTATATAAAGATTTTAGTCTCAGAAATCCACGGTAATTATGCTTGTAGAAGACATCATAAAATATATTTTTTTATATTAATAAATTAACTAAACCGAACTATTTGCGTTTCCTCATTGGTACAATTGATTTGAATTCATTTAACCCAATGGTGAAAAAAAAATTCCAATAACTAAATATATACCGGAGCGTCGGTGGCTCAGTGGTCAAGCACTTGACTTGCAATCTGCAGTTCTTGCGTTCGAATCCCGCCATGTACCAATGGGTTTTTCGATTTCCGATTTACATATGTACATCTATCCGACGTTCTTACTGTGAAGGAAAACATCGTGATGCAACCTGCACATATCTGAGAAGAAATTCAAAGATATGTGTCAAGTCAACCCGCACTTGGCCAGCGTGGTTGATTATGGCTTTATCACCCTTAATTTAGGGTAGGCTCTGAGCCCCTCGGTGGAGACGTATAGTGAGCTGATGATGATGTTGAAATATATAGAAAAAATTGAGCTGTGGGTTGTCTAATGAATAAACATCTACGTACCTGTTCATTTTCATTATATTTGTCATGAGACCATTTATTTACGGATTCCGACTTGCGAGGCGGTCGCCTGCGCTCAGTAGGCGCTTCAGAGCCTTCCTTCTTCTCTGAAGCCACATCAGATGTTGTATTGGCCGATTCTTCACCACTGAAAAAAGAAATAAAAAAATATATCAAACTTTACTCTGTATGACGTCACAATTAGATGTTTATATAATACAAAACACAAAACAGTTAACGTCGAAAAATAATAGAAATTTGTCACTCACCATGGGTTTCTGAGTCTAAAATCTCCGTTTATGTCGTATTGTTATCTCTGTTTTGTCAAAAAATTATAGGGATTAGGATATGTTTTACAGAGGTTTTGCTTTCAGAAACCCACGGTTAATGAACAAAAATATATGTCTTACTAACTGCCGTCCGCGACTTCGTGCGCTCGGAATTCAAAAAAGCTATTTTTATCAACTTATTTGTTCTTCTAAACTATTTTCTACATCTATGCCAAATTTCATTAAGATCCGTTGAGCCGATTGATCTGGAGATACCTTCTAAAAAACATCCATCCATCTAAACATTCGCATTTATAATATACATAAGTAAGAAGTTAGAGAGAGTCCTTTGTTTTTTCATACAAGTACAGAAACATTGATATAAGCAAAGCGTACCCAAAGACTGACATAAACAATATTGTTAAAGTACATCAAACATTTTTTTTTATCCTTTATCATTTACTATCGACCTCATTGTACGGAATTTATACTTGTATGGATTCAGATTGGTAGTGAACGTTACATTTAAGAGATATACTGTTTAAATCATTCGCACGAGCGCTTTTTTAACGCCTCGTTAAAACGTTGGCTTCCAAGCGATTAACGTTTCAAAATCACTCTTATTTCCTTCACCCAAGGCTCAAAATGCAACAGCGCGATTAAAAAGCTTCACGTTTTAAGCTCCGCTTTACAACAAATAGTCTTCAAGCTCAAGGTCATCGGCGAGCATCACCTCCCCCTGCACCCCGCTTCACCTCGATGTACCTAAAGTTGCGCAGCGCCTCTCGCGAACTTGAGAGCCATCAAGATATTTGAAAAGACTTATATATAGAAATGTTTGTTCTATTTATAGGCCATTTTTAGCGCGCTTGAAAAGCCTCGTGCGCGATATCAGAAACGAACTATATCAGCATATCACAACAGGATCATCCAAAAAAAACTTATAATAATATATGCTATAACTTATATAAATTTAGATTCCATCATTATTATAGTAATTTTCTAGAGATACGACGAATCTCCATTGAAATAGGATTTAAAATCCATGTATAAAGTATGAAATAGTATTCAAAATAGGTTGACATACATATATCTGTCTCCCTTCCTCCTATAGCTGTCCTTCTAACTTCCTTTTATATAAATACTGTTTATTTTTAAAATAGAATAAAAAACAAATAGTTCTCTAAAAGAAACATGCCAGTATCAAACTTTCTATCGGCATAACGCACATGTTACGTAAACATTGACTTAATGGCTCAACGAACAAATAGGTCAATGCACTAACTTCACAGCTGATCAATCAACTGTTAATATCAATAGTTGAAATTATTACAAATCAATATTAACAATTTTTGATGACTAATGATTAGATATAATGACAAAGTCTAAAATATTTGATTAGCTGTCGCACTCGACATTGCCCGCGCGAAATTAAAAAACTTAGCCTATGCTCTTCCAGACTATGTTCCACATATATGCCAAATTTCACCAAGATATGTTATATATGTGTGTAATCCATCCATCCATGTAAACTCTCGTATTCATAATAAACCTCTGTCGGCCGAATTAATTAGTAGCTTATATGTTCTTTTAGACTATGTTCTACATCTATGACAAATTTCACGGAGGTCTGTTAAACCATACTAGGAATACCTTTTAACAAACATCCATCCCTACAAACATTTGCATTTATAATATTAGTAAGATAATAAGGTTTATTTATATCTATTTTGACGTATTTTGGAGTCAAAAAAAATATATCGCCTTTTGAAATAAGACCTAATATTTTTTCAGTAATTATTTCAAGTTTGTTATAAACTTTACCTGGCAGCAGTTCGGTCATCATGTTCATAAAACGTCCCTCTCTTAGGTATGTATTGAGGATTGCTCCTGTCTTCATCATCATCAACCCTTCTCTCAGTTTCCTGAAATTAAAACAATAAATAATAATCAAATAACCGCATATTTAAAACGAATAACGCAAAGAAATAACTATCTGGTACATATCCGTGAAATAATACCAGTCCCACTCACTCTGATGAAGGGCCATCGATGGGCTCAAAACTAGTTGGTGCTGCCACCGGACGAATATACGTGAGTGTTTAGCCATTTATTTAAGTTTACAGTTCCAGACTGTATCTATCTATTTTACTAATTTGATCCAGATATATTCAGCAATTCTTTTGTTATGAGGTAACAAACATACATCCATCCATCCAAAATTTAACATTAAAATACATAAAAAATATTAAATAAATTTACAATATAATTGTAATAAAAATTAAAACATTCACTTCAAAAGCATGTTACATTTTTCTAACCCAGTTTTGAAGCACAGACTAATAAAAAAACAAAATCACTTGACTGCTAAAAACTTTCACTTGCAGTTTCTCTATATTAAAATCACTAGAGGCTGTCAATATGAGAATTTAAAAAAAACTTTTTCCCATACTTTTCAAAAAAAATTTTTGTGACTGCCACTGTTTGCCTTGAGGTAGCATTTTCAGCTGCACCAGGCTTGAGGTGGCCGAGTGCAGATGGCACTTAGCCTAAACCTCGTTTAAGAGTAACTAAGCTTGAGGGCTCCCTCAGGAACCTCGCCTCGGGCTGTTACTTCGTTATTATTACCAGATTGGGAAAACATTTCAAATTAGTAAACTAAATCCCAAGTACTTTTATTTCTTTAATAGAAGACTATTTATAATTTTGATTATCTCACTTTATGTTTCCACTGAGAATCTTGGAGCCTACCTTAAGTTAGGTTATGTTGAATGTCAAAATAATTGACTAAATTAATTATCTACATGACATTCTTATCAATATTATAAATGTGAATGTATGGATGTTTGTTAGTAGGTATCTCTAGAACGGCTGAAGAAATCTCACTAAAATATGGCATAAATGTAAAACAAAGTCTGGAAGAACACATAGGTTTTGAAATTAAGTTTTTTTAATTAAGCGCATTTATGGGCTACATCTTGTATGCTATAATTAGGCAAAAGCTTAGTAACTGAATGTGTACAAAATGTTGCATACAATAAAAAGTTATCTTCATACTTTGTGGGAATAAATATCAACAATATTACAATGTCAAATGAGATTACGCTGATAGTAAAACAAAATTATTACTCATTACAAAGTTTAATATTGTTTCTCACCGTTCAATTATTTGTATTTCTTTTTTTAAATATTTTTGTTCTGAATGTTTCCACCAAAGATTTATAACTCTAAATAGTTTTTTTGTGGTAATTCTGGCCAGTGTTGTCATTTACATAAAAAGTAAAGATATACAACCTCTTTTCATATTTACATTTTACATACCTAGCTGTCGCCCGCAACTTTGTCCACTCGGAATTAAGGAAAACTTTAATTAATAGCCTATATGTTCATCCAGACTAAGTTCTATATATATGCCAAATTTCAGCTAGATTGATGCAGCGGTTTGGGAGATTACTTGTAACGTTCGTCCAAACATTTGCATTTATAAGATGAAATATTAATATAAACAATCTTATTAGAATATCCTGTTTTAACATCCTGACAGATGTCAATGGACATTGTTAAGCAAATTATCACCTTGACCTCTAAATCGACGGTTGGAAAGTCGCTAACGAAGTAACAATTACCTGATTCTCGGGATCTCGTTCAGAATTTTCTGATTCACTCGCGGCTGAATCGTAATCGGATTCGATCGCTGCCCCGTCCTGCAAAGGTTCAGCGACTTTAAGAAGTTGCATATCTATACACTAAACACCACTGATGAAATAATTAAACACGATCAATAACAAATTAAACTCTAAACACAGCTACGACAGCTTGGTGAGTGGAGCCCAAACCGTGACCTCAATAAAACGAAAAGAAATGAACATTCCGGCACGCGACCGCGAAGGAGAAAGTTCTGTCGCAATTATTTTGCCGCCAACATGAAAGTCCATTCTCCTTGCTGGTCGCTGTCTAACCATATAACTCACGGTTAACGAGTTGCTGCGATCATTATCCTGAGATGCATCCGAATATTCGCCGGAATCATCCTGTTCCCTTCTTCTAACTACGGACGTCATACTGGCGTCCTCACGGGTTACTTGTATCACTTCCAGATTGACAATTTTAATTCACAGTTTAATGCAGCAAATGTTTGCCGACGATTAACGCAATTATTTTCAGTAGATATCCCCTCCTGATCAACAGAATACGCAAGAACGTCAAATAAACAAGAAAAGAAATCAAGCGGCCATAAATGTTACGTTCCTTTCCACGTTATTTAAAATTTAGTTTTCGGCATACCTCTATATTGCTGTAGATGAAATTCAAATCAAATGTATAAAGTATGCAGAATATTTACATGCATATACCTAATAACAATTGAGCATTTATAGTTGTTAGCTTATTGATATTTTTATTTTAATAAATGAAATAAAAAGTTGAGTGTCGAACCTGTTAGAGAAGGTATTCTTGAAAATTCTCAATTCATTAGGCAAACAAATTGGATTATTCTATATATGTATCTTACTGCTGAATACTTTAAAATTGTGTAATGTAAAATTATTTTAATTGCAACGTATTAAAAGACAAAATACATGTTTAGGATCTTCTGGAGAAATAGGAACACGTCATCAGTTAGTTGTCACTTACTGTCATTGTCATTATCAAGCATTATCAAGTGTCAAAACTCTGTAAAATAAAAAGATTATTGTTTTTATGTTGTGTTCAATAAATGTATAATTTTACGGCTTATATAAAATTGTGAAACAATATCACGATTTGGGAGAATCGCTCTGGTAGCCTAAAGTTACATGAATTAGAAATTTAAATAAAGCAGAAACAATGGCTGATTTAGAAAAGTAAATAATAAGTTGTTTTGCTCTATTAAATTTAATACTTGGAAATTTAAATATTTGTCAATAATTTCAGCGAAAATAAGACATTGGCCGACGTGGAAAATGTAGAAATTCTAGCACAAGGTCTGACGGAGCTGTATGAACCTCCATTAGCAACCATACATGCCCATTTGAAAGAATTAACGTAAGTTTTGGCTAATCTCTAGATTACAGACCGTTGAGTTGGCGGCTGTACGCCTAATCACGCTATTCTTGAAGACAACTATGTTACCAATGCAATCTTTAAATTGACAGAGAAAAACAAGAGGCTGTAAGCGAAATACTGTCAGCTGAGAGACGTAAACTAAATGACCTGCAAAGTGATGCTATGTTGGATGCTTTAGTAAGTATCTAAATTACCCTTTCTTGTTTCTTCTGTGTCTTTCTTTATCTACATCTTGAAGAAAAAAAAGATATTTAAAATTAACTTGATGCTTATTTTAGTTGGCAGACATTGCTACAATCAAAGAGAGATTAACAACCATCTCGAATTCTATGTTGGGTTTGCATAAAAGGGTACAATCTTTACAGGTTGGTGCTTTATTTATTTGTCAAGTAGTTAATAAATATGTCAACTAGTATTTAGTTAACTTTAAATTCTGTTAGCTACTAAAATTCTATGAACATCTGTTGAAGTCAAAATAGCAAAATGACATTTATATAATTTTGCTAATTATTTATGCTAGGGAAAAGCTTCATTTGATCTGGAATTGACTGACAACTTCTTTACATTGATATCAAACAAATTTCTTGATTTCATTTTGCCTTTATGATACATTGAACTGCGAGAATTCAATTTATTCATTACTGTAAAATCACATCAAAAATATTTTTTTCTTCCAGACCAGGGCAGCCAACATAGAAAAGGTGGCATTGATTAAAGCAAACAATAAAAATTAAATATTTTCCATAATTCATTCCTCTTTGAACATGTTTATTTAAAAAAGCGTTTTGATATGTTTAAGAAATAAGTGTAAATTTTCTATTTGCTAGTTAACTGTAATAATGTAAATAAAATATTTAATACGACTGTTTTCCCTATCCTTGTGTCAACTGTAATGAAAGTAGACTAACTTAGATATATACCAAGTGGCATGGCGTGGCAAATGCCACACCAGAATAGCCAACTTTGTCATAATTATACGAAAATTGTAACTTACACAAATCTCTTACATTTCACATTAAATCTTATTTCTTACTTTTATTATAAATGCGAAAGTTTAGATGGATGGATGGATGTTTATTAGAAGGTATCTCAACAACGGCTCAGCAGATCTTGATGGAATTTGGCACAGAGGTTGAACATAACCTGGAAGAAAACATAGACGCTGACGTAGCCTTTGCCCTGCTTTTTGTATAAACTGAGGTCCAAAATAAAATCCCTTAATTTTTTTAAACTTTATTTAATTATTACAGTGTTATAAGTACTTTATTAATAAATATGTTACGTTATTGTTTCTAAATATTAGCAAATGTTAATCTAATGCTTAAATATATCATAGATGTATTACCTCAACAACAAGTGACGTCAAATTGACAGTTGATTTTCGAAATGTCATCTTTTATTTTAATTGTCAACAATGAAGAAATTTACTCTGACAAAAGGTCTTTTCACCACACTTTTATGCTCCAAATTCCAACTTATAGGTTATATATCTATAACATTATTCTTATAACCTATATACTACTAAAATGTTAATGTAAAAAATATATTTTACTTTCTAAATAATTTTATATCATAATGAGATATTTTGTAATACATCTTAAAACTATTTTGATATATCAGAACTAAGACTAGTGTTGAGTGAAGTTTCAATCTAATTAAACATTTAACCGAAACTATTGTCTGTTTTTTTTTTCAAAAAAATGAAATTGACGACATTGACCTTTATAAATGGATAGGCTTTACGCCCTTTATTTTGTGCCTATGTGATTCGTCTTGAAAAGTCTAAATAATAACAGAGAATTGTCAATATAACACAAAAGGCACGTTTATTTGATTTTAGCTACAGCTTTTATTTCCAAGCAACGACTCATGACAATAAGTTTCGACATTTCGAATAATTCGATTGAATTTACACTCTTTTAAGCATTAAAATGGCAGTTAAATTCACAAATTGACAGCAAAAATTACTGTTCAATTATAAATACTACGTACTGAAAAAGCGTTTTCTTATATAAATCCCTAATTAAATCATGGTTTTATGGTTACCAACACAAATACAAAATCATTTCCTTCGTTTATCACACTGGTTTCGGAATATGTCGAATTAGTACCTTTTTAACTAAGCAGCTTGCGCGTCTAAGACATCTTTAACTCTACAGCACAGAGTATAAAATTAAACATCAAACGAACAGCTTAATTTGACCATTTTCAATGAATATTGCTATTTCTATTTATTAGATAAACTCTACCTATTGTTTATTTTTTAAGCTATACAATTCAAGACAATGTAACATTTTCATGGTAATATTATTGTAGTGTAGATTTTGTCTATGGTATACCCAGACTAAAAATTAGCTGCTAGAGTAGTATCGTACACAGTAAGTAGCTTTTATTATGACATATTAAAGTAAACCACCATGGTAGATACAAGAAAAAATTCTATGTCACTTATTTTTAATACAGTTATCTATAGGTAAAATTTTTCGAATCGGTTCAGTAGTTTTTGAGTTTATCGCATACAAACACTATCCAAAGTTCCTCGTACTATTCAATACCACGACACCATGTTTTGTCCACACCGTTTTGCCCACGACACAGAGCGGCGTGATGAGCCCACTATCAGGCCTCTGTTATTTCTGGTTCGCTTCAGTGACGTCACTGAGGCCTGTCACCACGAACGACTCGATATCTGCCTCGTTGGAGCCGCGTGCGATCCTGAAGTAGCCATTCTCGCCCCACTGACGGCCCCAACTGTTGGCGACAACCTGAAAAGTAATAAATTAGATAGTAAATAGATAGACGATTTGCTATCACCACGACTCCCTAAATTAAGTTTCAAATTTGGATATTTTTGTTAATTTCCACATAACTTCAGAATAGCTAAACGGATCTGGATTAAATTTGGACCAAATATAGAATACACTCTCCAGTTGCCACGAAAAGGCAAAGTCGAACCGATGTTAGCGAGAGTACCACGGGACCGCAATTTTTTTCATGCTTATTATTTCTAACTCGCCCTTTCGAACCGGACAATGACTTTCACTTATAGAGGTTTCTCGGTTATCCAGGTTCTACTGTATATTATAAATTGACTTACCCAATACCGGTCACCACGATCTTCTCCCCAGCCGATAATACGGACGCTATGGAAGCCCTTCAGTTCGTTGTTGCCATGGTAACTGCGCCTATACACGCCGTCACGATAGTGGAAGAAGTCCTGGTACACCGTCATCACAGCTGCAGAAGAAGAATAGAGTAAGAAATTGAAGTAGTCGGTAAACTTACTTACTAACTTACTAACTTGGTGGGAATAATTAAAAGAGAAAAAGCATGGAAGATTCAGGTATAGATTGCTCATGAAATTATAAATAAATAACTCGAGTAAAAAATTAATGCGCAAATCCCTTGCCGTCTCAAATAATATAGTTTGGCGCTGTCCGCCATCTTTGTTTTAGTATCCACAGATTCAGTAAGGTATAACGATTTTATACAAAATACGGTACAAGGCAATCATGCCTTAGGCTTCGATAGGAACCAATCAATCGACAATTTTCTTGTCACTTGAATCACGTTCGTACTAAAAACTAAAATCTCAGGCATTTTGTTCTGGGCGGGACATTTATTATAACTATTTAACTATAAGGTTATATTGGGCTTACATTTTCTAAAACCTAAATCAGAGTTTTAAAAGCTTTTTTTCTATAGACCTCTATCAAAATTTTTGTTGACACAGTGACCTTGCTGCTGCATTTCTTTTTCAATTATGACACCTTTATCTTTATTTAGATTACCAGCTGTCTCCCGAATTAAAAAAAAACTTAATTATTAGCCTATATTTTCGTTCAGACTATATTTTATATCTGTGCTAAATTTCAGCGAGATCCATACAGCCGTTCTGTATACCTTCTAACAAACATCCATCCGTCTAAACATTCGCATTTATAATATTAGTAAGAAGTAAGATATGAATAGATGAATAAGAATTAAGCCTTTTATGATCAATATAAAGCCAATAATTTATGAGAATAGTTAATTCAATTCTCATCGTATGAGTAACAATTTTATGTCGTAACAATGTTATTTTACATCCTCATACAAATTCAAACGGTTATATTGTAATTCGAATTTAATTTGTTTATGTTCACCATTTATTTATGATTCAATAAACATTTAAAATAATATATAACTAACTTTAAAACAAAAAATGACATGCTGAATTTCGTTACATGAAAGAGAAGAAAGATATGTAACATAGAGGTATGACAAGGATAACTAGACATTTAACACAGATAAGAAAATATATATAAGTGGACTGGTTATAAGACATAGTATTTTGTGCCTATTTGATTGTCGCCATATTATCGGTAATTATAACGATTTGTAGCAGTTGTGTGGATTCCAATTTTAATATAGACAGAATTAACTGTCAAACGTCAAGTCGCATTTAAATCTGAAAGAAATAAAAGCTGTAATTTCCGAACAATCTCCTATACATTTATCTAACTTGTCGATCAGTGGATTAGACCTTAATATTTATGTGCTTGTGAAGATTTTCCCAATAGGTTGATATTGTTTGGTCACCCTAAACGCGGCCTACTACTTTGATGATTTATATGTCAATGTCAAGTCCTATTCAATGATTCCGTCATTTTTGTGTCATTCCTAGCATTTATATCTCTGAAGTAATAACCGTGAGATTCTGAGACCAATACCTTCGTTTAAAATGTATTGTCATCTCCGTTTTTGTCAATGATAATTAGATTCTGGTGTTAAAAGCTCACTGTAAGTAAAATAGCGTTTAATTTTGCCAAAATGAGGTCGTTTTACCTTGGTATCGTTGTCACGAAGAATGTTTCATTTAAAATGCGTTTTATTCATAAATATTATTTACTAGCTGTTGCCCGCGACTCCATCGGCGCGGAATTAAAAACAAAACTATTAGTGCAGCGTAATATGATATAGCCTAAAGCCTTCCTCTATAAATGGACTATCCAACAAAAAAGAATTTTTCAAATGGGACCAGTAGTTCCTGAGATTAGCGCGTTTAAACAAACAAATACTTCCGCTTTATAATATTAGTATAGATAAGTTTTTTCCTAACATAGACGTTTAATTTAATTTATATAACAATCATGGCGACTTTAAAAGTTAACCTTTTGCCTGCTGAATGTTCGAACGCGTCCCTTCGCGATAGCCAATTAAAAATAAGGCAAATGGTTTTTGAAATGTTTCATATATATATCATGTGTACTAAATTAGTTCACGTGTTTATAATTTTATATTATCTTTTCATTTGCAAAGTGAGATAACATTGTTTTTATATATTTCCGATAATTTGTTCTTTTAAATCGATAAAATGTGAAACAATGACAAGGTTATTCCATTATCGAAATATTTAATAATTTTATGTAAAATAATTTAGATTTCCTTTGATAACAACAAAATAATTACAAAACAAATGATAATTTGATTATTAAGAATTTTAGATAAAACTATCGTGCTATTATAAATTAAATCACAATGCATGCATACAATATTTAAACATAGTAAAAAGGTACTAAAACCCAAGCAATATCACAGTTTGACGTTTTACAGTCAAGTAAAGAAAACGGTACAGAGTATCAAGTCAAATTATCTTAATTCTTACGTAACATTGTTGTAATTTGTCCTTACCCTGTACTGGTCCTGATTCCATTATGTCATACATAATGTCTTTCTCATGGCTGAGCTTAGCTGGTGGGCCGAGCTTGTATCTGGAGGTACGCCTCTTCACAAGTGGCATACAACCGTCTT